GAGTCAATCAATCCTTTGCCAAGTTCCCTTGCCAAAATAAATCTTGAATCTATTCACTTCACTCTATCTCCATGCCCACCATTGATTCAAGTCAAAGTAATCATCCTGTTGTCTTACTTATAAGGGGAGTATAGGGGAACATAACAAAGGAAGAGATAAAACTTGCTAAGGCATAGAGCAGGGGGAAAGGAGTATGGGGAGGGAAAAACACAAGGTGGTGGTAGTTCATGGGCACTATTTTTGTGGGAGAACTATGTGGACTACACCTTAGGGGAGAAGTCAAATATTGTACAAAAATGGATGATGTAAGGAGGTGGGGGGTGAGTAGTAACCATCCTATCCTATTGGCATGTAGCATTATAATATCTTTAGTTAGCCCCTTCCACTCTTCTTTGCCACCTGAGAGCACTAAATAGACTAAAATTCCTACTCCCTGATTCCCTTTTGCTAGCCTTTCTAAACCTTTTCTTTATATTTGTTTTTTTTTTTATTGTGAGTGTTTTTTTTTTAGGTTTTTTTTTTTATGCATTACAGAACTGAGATACAGGCCAGAGATGCAGGGGTGGTGAGAGGATTCACCAGAGACAGAGTGGGGAGCAGAACAGGCCAAAGTATACTGCTGAGGGGAGCAGTGGGCAGGTCAGGAGAGGTCTGCCAAGTCCTGTGGGCCACCTCCCTGGCTGGGGATTGAACTCATGCTGCAATGGCTTTAGCTTCTTAGTACTGTGCTTTAACCTGCTGCACCATCAGGGAAGGCCTATATTTATTAATGATAATATATTGACTAGTTCCTTAAGGAAGCCCATTAATCTTATCTATTTATGGATAGACTTTACTAGCTAAACTCATTGGTAACTTCAGTTCTAAGATCTGTAAGAAACCACATGATTCTTTGGTTTTGGTTGTTTCTTTTGTGTAAATAACCAGAAATGAGCAATTGAACAGTTAATGACCAAATGGAAAAATCTGCAAATCAGGACTTTACAACTATTCTGACCTTTGATTTTTACAACAAAGTCCCCATGACACACTGATTTTTCTTGTTAGTACACTATGTAAGTCAGACATGGGGTGATAGGATATCCCCTGGGCTAAACTCTCCCTTCTTTTAAATATATGACCCCAAAGCATATGTATTCTGATTGAATTTTAAAACTCTGAATAAGTTTCCACTGCAGAAATTTACTGAGGACTTGAAGTTGTATTCAGTGGTGAGAGTACTTCAAAGTGTTATGTTGTTTGGAAAAGTTGGTCAGAGTCCAGAGAGTCTGTGCCAATCAGGTCATCAGCAAAGGCAATGCCAACATTTTATCCCTTATTCAGTAAATGCCTAGAAAAGTCTGTTTCTTGCCACTATGAATGCTGGTTTCTGTTAGGAAATTATGTAGAAATGTCATAACAAGTTGTTTAAGTACTATTATAATGACTTACTTTTCATTAAAAGAATGTCAGTTTCTTAAGAATAGTTATTACCCTTTTTATTTAAAAAATATATATATTTATTTACATGGGCCCTCCCTGGTGGCACAGAGGGTTGGAGCATGCGCTTCGAAGCTGGCCCTGGTCACTTCAGTGTTAGTTCAATCTCCTGCCAGGGAGCTGACCCCCATGGCGTGGCAGACCTCTGCTGACCCACC